GAGGGGTCGCCGTCGGCCTCCCCTTCGTCGCCCGCGCGGGGGGAACGCGCGGCAGGGGCGGACGACCACGGCGACGGGGCGTGCGAGCGCGCGGAGGTGACCGCGGTGACGCTTGCGCAGGGCGTTGCTTGGGCGGCGTTCACCTCAGCTAATTCTCTCACTTCCCAGGTGGTAGCGGTCCCCGCCTGAGGCGCACTAGAACACGAGAAAGAAGACAGAATGACTCTTTTATATAGAGCGTTTACCACTACCCTTTGGTGCGCTAGATTTTTTAATTTTTATTGCACTAGACAATATGACCTTCTAATATTTCATCATGCGTACACGCCATACCGTTGGCTAGATTTACAGGGGAAAAATGAGGGCTTATACTTTCCACGTATCTATTTTCGAGGCTACGTGCAGTTGGAGGGCACCAAGATGTGTGGAATCGAGTGGTGTTGGGATGATGGTCAGCCATAAACTGTCGCTTTCCTCTCTCCCCTTTTGTCATAGCAACACGCAAGGAAACTTCTTAGCCATGGTAAAATTTTATCTGGGTAATTTTGTTCTGAACTAGAACACAAAACCAAACGAAAAATCCTTAGGAATGATCTATCTCCCATATCAACAAACTTACGACATATTATCAAGTGGGAGGGAGGACCACCAGAAAGGTGCTGTATTGTAGTCAAAACTATCTTTGGCTTCTCTATTAGATTCAGGGCAATGTGGCATTTGGGTCAAACAGGTTCCGTTGGAAAAATAACATGTATGCGGTACCAGCCTTATGTGTGTGATGAGATGCTCTCCTTCTCCTCTATAGTCATTCTCTTCGTTTTTCTAGGCCTTAGTTTTCTTACTTGCGTGGAGATGGAGAGGAAGGGGGAAATGTCGCGATAAATTTGACAGTTATCTTTTTACTTCCCCTGACAGATACTGTCTTATCCAACGATGAGCTTTAACATTCTATGCGCAAAGGAAATATTCGACATCGCGAAGTAAAATGTACAACGAAATTGGCACATTATCGGATAAAGGAGGAATACCCTTGTGTGGTTCATTTCTAGGAACACCTACCTCATTGTTGCAATCGTATTTTTTAGTTTTTTTTCACTCTCTCACCACCTTAAGCTATTCGTTCCTTTATGTTCCTTTTTTTCTTAACCAACAGGGAAACTAAGCAACTCTAACCCCGGCGAATTTACATTTAATTTTTTTTTTTGCAAGGAGAAACTCTCTTAATATGCAAGTAACAACTCTATTAAACGAAGTCTAGAACCCCGTTACTGGTACCTTCTCTGCATTCCGTTGTGACACAATGGAGGCAATGATGTTGTTTGCTTGACTCTTGCCATCTTTTTGTCTGTGACGGGACACATCAACGAACAAAACGGTAATCACAATGTGATAAAGATTATGCTACTTCGTTTCGTGCATATCGACTTTTTTCTTGTATTAAACAAAGATTTTTAATTAGTATTTAGCTATAAAACTGAGTATATATTATTTTTTTAATAAAATAAATTATTAAGCTACCTTCTTCATTACATTCATCACAACAGAAAATGCTTGCGCGGCGTATTTGTGGAAGTGGCCTTATCACAGGCGCCAGCAATCTCTTACGCCACTCCTCGCAGAAGGTTCAGGGCGATGTGATCGGTATTGATCTTGGTACGACATATAGCTGTGTGGCCGCGAT